AAGGCGCCAACTCATTAGTGATGTCTATGCACTCATCTTTCCTATTCAAATTTGGATTTTTGGCGGCAATCCAAAACGCTTCTAAAGTCTTGCGCGCTAGGATTTCGGATTCGTACGCCAAGATCGTGACCTCCACGCGTATCTCTGCGTCATTATGGAACTGTCTGCGATGCTTGCCCAGTGGAGTTGCCATGTTCGATTTTTTGAGCCCGTCTAGGTGTTCTTTTACGCGTATACATAGGGGCCGCCCCGTCTCGCCGATGTACGTGCCTCCACATGTCTGACAGGTGATAAGGTACACCACCCCCGCAACCATGCAGTCGCCTTCCCTGCCCTGCGGGCATATGATGCATCCTGGAGTCATGCAAAGCCTATCATATGCCCTATTTCGTACTAGCTGATGTTTGAGGTTTGTAGGGGGTATGTCAACTACCCTTATCCAATCCTGGAGGTCCGCTTGTAGTACCAATCTTCTAACCGTCTTGCTCAACTCCTCTGAGATATACGGCAGGCAGAAAGGGATCTTTCCATCGGTTTCTGTAACCACATTCTCCTGAGCTCGGTGATGTTTTGCGTGAGTGTGCCCAAAGGTCTTGTAACCATTAGATCGAGCTACTCTGTCAGCTATCGCCATGGAATAAGCCTTTTGCTGCCCGTCAGAGGAGACCTTCAGAGCAGTTCTGAACATACTCGGACAATACTGAAGTTGAAGTTTTTTTTACGCCATATAAGCTTTTTATCCACTCCTACGAGAAATTAGATTTTCCTACGTAGATCTTATCTCCGTGAAACCAGAATTTGAAAACTCCAAGCCATTCATACTCAGACGTACATTTGCTTCATTCACACCAAAGCACTTCTGATAAAGCCGCACCTGGGGGGGGGGAACTGCGTCATTGTGATCTAAACAAATGTATGAGTAATATAGACTAACATCAGCACTTCACACTTCTAGTAGTTTGCAAAAATTTATGCGGACCGTTCAAAATTCTAGGCTGCGATCTGCTCAAAAATTGTAGTTTTTTTCAAACTTAAACCATTGATTTTAGCGTTAAAAGCGCGAACAATATGTTCTTGGCGCCAAATTCAAACTATTAGGTTGGCTCGAAAGTTCTGGGACATTTTCGAACTTGATCAGCTATTTCTCGAAACCTAACGCATGTACATCAGATGGAGGTACTATTCGATAGAGCAAAGCAAGCTCTACAAGATATTGTGCAAAAACTCGCACCAGCTTCCGAACCCACCGCAAGTTTGCACTCAAAATCTGAGTCGTACTGAAATTCAAAAAATCGCGAAAAATTCATATCTTTGTTCAAACAAATCCTACGGATCTCCAACTTGCTCACAAAAGTTGTACACCACATTGGACACTCATACACACCGTTTCTGTATTTTTTCCTCATCTGGAAATCGAGAAAACGAAAATTTTCATGCTTATATATTAGGTTGTCCCAAAAGTTCTTGCGCCAGATTTTCAAAAAATCATAACTTCCCTGCCACTCAATGGATTTTCTTGTGTTCAATTTCATTTGAAAGAGGAAACCTTTCTCTTTACAGCAGTACCTTTGGCATGAACTGGTATTAGAAAGTTCCAGAGCTAGAGGCAATTGAACGAAATCAGTCAAGATTGGCATTTTTCAAGCTGGATCACGAAAAATTCTGGAAGTATTTTTATTTGATAGAGAAAATTCTGCACATTACAGAGGTACCTTTTTCATGAATTAAAACCGAGTAGATCGAGAGTTAGAAGCAAACAAAGAGAATTTCTTCACTTTTGCAATTTTTGAGCATGCTCAAAAAAGCTTGAAAACGTCACAAAAAAGGCGAAAAAGTTATAAACATGGGTTTTGCAATTTTCCCTTTTTAGCTGAGTGAGTTTCGAGCTGATCGAGAGCAATTTTGATTTTCGTGATTTTTTCGGATTTTCGGGTCTGCGTTTTTCACGAAAATCAAAATTGCTCTCTATCAGCACGAAACTCACTCAGCTAAAAAGGGAAAATCGCAAAACCCATGTTTATAACTTTTTCGCTTTTTCTGTGACGCTTTCAAACTTTTTTGAGCATGCTCAAAAATTGCAAAAGTGAAGAAATTCTCTTTATTTGCTTCTAACTCTCGATCTGCTCGGTTTTGATTCATGAAAAAGGTACCACTGTAATGTGCAGAATTTTCTCTATCAAATAAAAATACATTCAGAATTTTTCGTGATCCAGCTTGAAAAATGCCAATCCTGACTGATTTCGTTCAACTGCCTCTAGCTCTGGAACTTTCTGATACCAGTTCATGCCAAAGGTACTGCTGTAAAGAGAAAGGTTTCCTCTTTCAAATGAAATTGAATTCAAGAAAATCTATTAAGTGGCAGGGAAGTTATGATTTTTTGAAAATCCGGCGCAAGAACTTTTGGGACAACCTAATAAAAACGAAGCTGTGCTGTTTTCACCCATGTAGTTGAATAGTACAAGCCCTTAGAAGTATAGCCGTAAATTTTCAACTTTCCGTAAGCCCTAGTTGTCGGAAAAAACTGATTTTAGCATGGAGCGCCCGAGTGAGGAGAGCTCAATTCGGTAATTTTCGGGGACTAGGGCCTGTACAAAGCTGAAAATTTAGGGTTATACTTCGAAGGGCTCGTACTACTTCAAATACGTGTTTTAAAACTGCACAGCTTCGTTTTTATATGAGCATGAAGATTTTCGTTTTCTTGATTTCCAGATGAGGAAAAAATACAGAAATGTATATGAGGGCCGCATGCACTAACATCCCCGCGGGGAGGGTATCGCAGCTTAAAAGGAAGCTTTATATCTCGGAACTCCAGATACCTGGATTTCACGGTATACCTATCCGTAAGTATTCCTATTACCCCTCACTATGAACATGTTGAAGAGAGCGAGAAGCTGTACGAAGCGAATTTTCCAGCTTTTGTATGACCCCTGATGATCCCCGGCGCTTTTCTTTAGAGTCATTTTTCTTTCTCCGAAGTTAACGAATAACCTCCAAAGTTGTGCAGATTATCTAACCCAACAGTGCTAAGCATGTTGCTGATAAGAACGAATGATGTTTTGAAGTCATGAAATTTTCGATGATCCACAGGTCGAAATCTGAGGTTTATCGAAAAATTCTACTTTTCAAACACTCATTTGTTCTCATTAGCAACATGCTCAGCACTGTCGGGTTAGATAATCTGCACAACTTTGGAGGTTATTCGTTAAATTCGGAGAAAGAAAAATGACTTTAAAGAATAGCGCCGGGGATCATCAGGGATCATACAAAGGCTGGAAAATGCGGTTCGTACAGCTTCTCGCTCCTCTTCAACATGTTCATAGTGAAGGGTAGTAGGAATACTTACGGATAGGTACACAACGTGAAATCCAGGTATCTGGAGTTTCGAAATATAAAGCTTTCTTTTAAGCTGCGATCCCCTCCACAGCGGGAGGTTAGTGCATGCGGCCCTGAGTATCCGATGTGGTGTACAATTTTTGTGAGCAAGTTGGAGATCCGTAGGATTTGTTTGAACAAAGATATGAATTTTTCGCGGTTTTTTGAATTTCAGTACGACTCAGATTTTGGGTGAAAACTTACGGTGGGTTCGGAAGCGGTGCGAGTTTTTGCACAATATCTTGTAGAGCTTGCTTTGCTCTATCGAATGGTACCTCCACCTGATGTACATGCGTTAGGTTCCGAGAAATAGCTGATCTAGTTCGAAATTGTCCCAGAACTTTCGAGCCAACCTAATACATTGTTTGAACCCCACATACGAACTATACTCATTGGCAATAAAATCAACGGGTATATAAGCTGACGTAGAAGCTGACATGAAAAAAAAATAGCATTTATCTACATGACGAAAAACATACTTATTGAAACAGAGGTAAATATTGCACAAAGAGGTAGATGCTGATAGAGATCAATTTCGATCAGAAGCACGAGAACTGGGTGCTGAACATGGAGTTGCTTGTAGACCACCATGAATAAAACGCAGCTTTTCCGACCATTCCTGAAAATCTTCCTAAACGTTTGATTTCCAAAGCTTATCTGCTTTCAGATTGCATTGTTTTATACTTCAAATAAAAATTTGAAATGCTTAGAAATAACATCTGTGAACAAAACAATATCAACGAAGCTCAACTCCTGATAATGAAAGGAAATAATCTAACCAAATTTTGTTAGTATGGCATTTTGTTTTGTAAATTAAAATGATAAATTGATGCCATCCTTACAGTAATAATTATAGAAATTACAAGTATGCCTTGAAAACTAGAATTTATGGAAGCTGTGAGCTAATCTTCTTGTTATCTGTTCAGTTTCATTCATTGATAGCAAGCGCAGCAATCACTGCAACATTAAGTGAATATAAAAACCAACAGAAAAGAGTAATGATGAAAATATGATAAGTTAAGTGAATCAGATCCTTTAGTAGCTTTTGACTGCTGTAAAGCGTAGAGAGTTATGTGCAAAGTTTATCTTCTGACTTTTATTTACTTTTATTCAATCGTTCAGTAGCTTTTGACTTTTATGTTACGACCTAAGTTGCCTGTGCCAGCGCCTTGCTAGCGCCGTGCCAAAATGTCAGTCGATCAATAAGGGTCGTTTTCAAGGGGGTCTCGACACGGTGTTGGCACGGCACTGGCACGATACTCACACAATGCAACATAAGCAACTCCGATGCCTCAGTGAAAGTGATTCATGGTCCAATGACTACAAAAATGTTTGCAAAGCTCCATGGCGTTTTTGCAAAATTATTTGACACAAATTATATTAGAAGTATGGTCGATAAGGAATTTTGTGCCGCTTTGGCGCGGACTTAATTAAGGCTGATATTGAAGTGAAGAAGTGAAACTTTACTTACTGTACTAAAACTTTACTTACGCCTACGGTAACTTGCAGATATTGGTTCTTATATAAAGCCTCTCAAATTTTTAAAATGTATAGGGCTCAATCTCATTACACCTTATAAAGTAATAAGACATTAACATCACGAATTAGTATGAAGCTTGAATGTTTACCTGAGTGAGTTGTGATGTCAAACTGTTCATCGTTCCGCAGATGTTCTCATTGTACACACTTGGGCGGTCTACATTGGTCGTTTTGTAAAGGGCAGGATCTCGTCGGGATTTTTCCTGACTCAAAAAGTCTCGATATCTCTTCACTTCCTAAATATAGAGTTGACTAGATATCGAAAAAAAAACCTCCTGTGGAAACTTCTTTTCTTTATGTTAAACACAATCAAATCGAAACTTTAACAAAACTTTCGAAATTTGCTTCTTTGCAGCAAGCAAAAAGGTTTCACTCATGACATGAGTTACAGCAGTCGGTACTATTCTGTAATGGGTACTGCTACCCCCATTTTGCCTTTTATCTTCTAAAAACTCTCAATTTTCTATTAATTTTCACATTTTAAGATTCCCATACGTTTTTGGAATCATTATTGCTACAACGAAAGCAGTAAATAGGGCTGAACTCTCCACTAATATGAGCCAAAAATTTGTGAAGGTGATTCGAGAAAACTCTGAAAAAATTAAAAATGGTTTTACATAGGTGATATGAAAATGACTCAAATAGCTAGCATCCAACACGTAGATTGAATATGAGAAAGAAATTTCCAAAGAAGCTGTGGAAGTTTTCCTGCAGTGGAACATAACTTCTGCTCCGACCTGGTTTTTTTACATACAACAAAATTTTGCCAAGGTACTTTTTTGAAATTATATTCTAACTTTGGTCCTTCCAGAGCTCCTCCAGCGACGCAGTCTCATGGGATCTGCCGAACAAAGCAGAACGTAAGTAACAGCAAGCTATGTTAGCAGTAACTCATCTTCCTATGCAAAGCCAAGGATGTAAACAGCGTCTATAGGTTTGACTAGTGCGATCGAAACACTATAATGCACATAATGACATAAAACTGCAGAAATAAGCCTCGCTACAAAGTAAGGATTGTGTTGGTAACGAAGAAAATACAATCCTATAACAAAGCATTACACTCTATTAAAAAACATCGTCATCTATAGTGATTTTTTTGACGCACGCAAAACTCGCAGAATCGCATTTTCTCTCGTTTTCTCTAAACTTGAATCTACAAAGTAGGCTCACATACTGGTTAAATTGCACTTTAGAGCGTTTTAGCTACTGAAAAAAATCATGGCAAACGTGCTTTTTCTCAATGGGGACATGCCTTATAGAGTACCAAATAAAAATCCCAATTGTATCTTAATCTCTTCAGCTATTACTCAGTTCTATAGTAGTTCATATTTTTGCCGAGTCTCTTCCGCCCCCTCCCCGCTCACCCCTTTTTTCCTTCGTAATTCTACAGCATGTCATGTCATTCATCTAAGTGACTCCATTATAAGCAACATGGATGTAGGCAGCACTCAAGAGCAGCAAGAGTTCCTCTACAAGTCATGTCCGAAACTTTGTGAACGTTCGCCAGTTAGATAAACAGGAAGAGACTGGACTGGGAAAGGAATATAGGAAATTTACTAAGAATAAAGGCGTGAGGGCAGCAGAACTTTATCTATTTAAAAGCAAGGTGTTTGAAAATAAAAGCGAGAAGTCGTTAGCTGAAAGCCCCCTTTTTCTTAGAAACCAACTAATGGCACTCGCAGCACTGTGGAAGAAAGTAAGAAGTATGAAAAAAAGTGTGCGGGTTGAGACCTTTTTTTCTTCTAATTTTTCTGATTCTCTTAGAAACGTACATAGAATGCTTGGAACTTAGTATACAACTGTCAAGGCAGAAGAAATCCCTTTTTAGTTACATTGTAGCTTGTCTCAAAGCTTACCATACTAAATAAATATTTGTTTACGCTTTTATAGGTAAAACTGATTTTAAGGTGCATTTTGAAAAAAGATTGGAGAGCGTATTCATACAATACTTTATATTGCTAAAAAATAACGTTTAGCAAAATAGAAAGCACAAGAAGAAGTCATGAAACTTCAAACAAGAAAATCCAGAAAAAGTTCCGAAAGCAAGTTCTCACATCATTCAAATCGTCCAGGCGGCGTGCCAGCACTTCCATACATTTCCGTGAATGCTCGCAGTCCTAAAAAGAATCAATATCTAAGCCATCATACGAGCAGAGAATAAACGAACAGAAGATCTTTCATGAAAGTGAAGTGTTAAGGCAATGATCGGATAAGAGAAACGTTTCTACCAAGCCGTGTTAGTGAGCATGTAATAGTATTCTCTCAACTGAGATTTTATTCAAAAAAAAATCATGCTTGGTTTTTTGCCCTTATTCTCTACAAGCTGTATATGGAAACTTTATATCCTAATTATGTTCGATTAAAAGGTTAACATAAGACCACGAAAAGATACAAAAAGTGGAAATCAAAGAAGAGAAATACACAACAGTTGTTCCTCATAGAGCTACTGACCACATAGAATAATTTTCGCTCTAAACAAGTACATTGTATCTGCGAATTTTCAAAAACATATGGCTTGGATTATCAACCCGTGACATCACGTTATTTTATTTAATCACTGCTAGTCAGTCACATTTGAGTTTGTTAACTTTCCGGCTGAAAAAAAAAATATCTTCATGCAAATGGTGAAAATAGTTTATACTTAAGTGCTGTCAGAGATAAGCAAACCTATGGCCGTACTCATCAAACCGGTAAAATTAACCCTTGAGAGCAAACCTTGGGGTAAAATTTACCCTTAACGTATATTCAATCTGAGGCTAAGCATTTTTTGTACTTTGCAATACGGGCTTATCGCTTTTCGGGGTAAAATTACCTTGAGATAAGTTTACCCTCAGGGTAAAGGTTTTCAGGTAAAATCCGATGATCAATACAGCCACAATTGTATTGCAAGCAATTCCCTTGAAACCAACACAGCTTCATGAAACAGAAGATATTGTGAGTTTGAAGCAGGAAAATTTATGACGGTTTAGCTGTCAATCGCTTCATAGGGTAAAATTGCCTTGAGAATAAATTCACCCTCAAGGTTAAAGGTTTTTCAGGTATAGGTTTGTTGACAAATACGGCCACTGTACTGTATGTGAAGGTAAGTCTTTTGTAACGAAAGCAGCCCCATGAAATAGAAGATCTGTAACTTTGAAGCAGAAATCTGTGCGAACAACTCACAATTTTTAGGGTAAATTTTCCAAATAAATCGATTCCAGATATTCACAACCTAAAATCAATTTCTAGATCCTTTCACCGAAATAGATTGTTCTATGCACATAGAAAATGTTTTCGCAGAGCTGAGAGATTGCGCATGCAGAAGCCAAAATTAGCGCGCACAAATTCGTTTAGTAAGTTGTTAGCTGAAGCATAGCCATGAATGCTCGAGAACGTTGTTTTCATTGTAGAGCAAAGAGTTTGTCACTTTTGTGTCTTTGAAGATAATTTGTGTGGTTGACTTGGATGAGGAGTCGAAGCTCAAGGGAATTCCATAGCAAAGGCATTGTTGTCCGTGTGCTGTGTGTGGGACAAAATCATCGAATCGAGAAAACAAGCGCATGCATTCCGTTTGCAGCTTGGAAATGTAAAAAAGTTTTTTTTTACAAAAATAGCGTGGGAAAAAAGAAGTTCAAGAATGAAAAAACAGAAGTGACTTGACTAGGTGACCGAAGAGTATCAGGTAATTCTAATCGTGTTTGTTGAAAGCTTACTTTACGTTCAGCAACAAAGAGAACAAATGTGGTATACAGCGCATGAAGACTTCTCAATTACATTGTTTTAGACTACAAAATGGAGATGTTACTTGAATGTGAAAAAAGCAATTTTAGGTAACAAATAGAATGCCCTATAAGAAATTGCATGAGATGGAGCGCTTCACAAAAAAGCCTTCTTTGGACTATGAAATGCAAGTTCCGATAATAGTGTGCTAGTTGTTATTATATTATTATTTTGTTATTGTTCATAGAAAGTTTTTGCCCTAGAAAACAAGTCAAAGGTTGGAGATCATAACGAGATTCATAACGAGCTTTGTTGTGAACAAAATTCAAAAACTCAAATGGTTGCAGTAGTAAGATATGGTGTTTTGAAAACCGTTAAAAATGCTGAACATTTCTAGAATTTGTTTCTTTTCGTACCTATTATATAACTTTGAAGATTATCTGCGCAAAAATCGAAAACTGCTCAATTATACGAAAAAAATCAAGAAGCCAACATTCTGTCACCTAGTCACTTGCACACCTCGAATCATGTTCGGCCTGTCGTATGCACATTTTAGAATATTTTTGTCTAGAAAAAATTGAATCATTTATGTCTGGACACATCAGGCAGAGGTAAACAAGACAAGAACTGACAGGTGGCGTCTTCTAGTCAATAATTGAATATTTGCATCAGAAGAAAAGAGCAGCGAAAAGCGCAAATCAATATATCAAAACTAATTTATTTTTGACTTGCATGAATCTTCTTCTGCATCTGATGCTTCTGAAGAATCTTGCTAGTCGAATCATTTCATGGTATACCGAGATTTTTTACTCCCAAAAAGCGGATATAGGTTTGTGCAAAGCAGATAGGTCTTATCTATGCATTTCAAATCCGAAATTGTTTTGACATGGAGCGCGCATGTCAGAGCATTTCCTTTAATTGTTCCATACATCTAAATATAGTTACATATTTCCTCATACCAATAGTGAGAAAAAGTTTTGTTTCCCTCACTTCTCCATAAATTTCTTTGCAAGAAAACACTGCAATTACTGCTTATTCTTTGCATAACATGAATGATGTCAGAGGGCTGTATCCGGTACTTCTCAATTCGGCGCAATTTGGCAGTTTAGAGAAGATTGAGCCGTAAATAAGCATAATATGCGATGGCGAATATGTCCAAAACACGAAATATGACGCTAGCAAAGCTTAGACTTGATACGAATACGATTTTAGTGGTTATAAAGTAAATTATCCAAGGTCTATACTACCAATGAAGTTTTTGGGCGGGAAATCGAGAATGAGCGGGAAAAGAGAGAATTCGATGTAGGATTTCGAAGAAAGCGAATTTTGAAGTGATTCAACGACAAATAACGCCTAAAACCTTACCTTTACGACCCGATCCACTTGCCGAATTTGGTCTTCGATTGTTCCAGGGCCTGCTGCAGGCATCGCTGTGTGTTGTGTATGTATGTGCTGTGTGTGTTGGGGGGAGAAAGAAATGGCAGCCGGGTGAGATGCGAGGGGGGTGTGCCGCTGTGCCTCTTTAGAATCGTTCGCTGACGCTTCACGACTCGCGACTCGCTGAGTCCTGGCATTCGACGTTTTTCGTCATATTTCATCAGGCCAAAGCAGATCGCATATTTATCGCTGTGTTTAGAATAGGTTTAAACGTCATTATTGCAAAAAACCAAATATTTACTGCTGTGGTTTCATTCAAGAATTTGCTATCAAGGTCTCTTGAGAGTCGTGTCATCTAAATGCAAAAATACGTTAAAAATCTTGTTCAATTTGATGGTTTGGCAGCTAGCAATGACATCAAATTACTTCGAAAACTGTGGAGATACTTTTAATCTCAAGATATATACGATGATTGGGCTTAGATACGATAAGGCTTAAAAATTTGAGGGCTGTGAATACATCGAAATGGTGACTAGGCACACTTGAGACACTAAAGTCTTGAAAAGATTAAAAACATATCAGAAACAGTTTTCAAAAATAGTTTAATAAGCAATACCATTCTTGAAAAGGTTAGAATATATCAAGTGAAATAGAATACAAAAATTAAAGTTGATCGGACTTGCAGAAAAAAGTGGAATCTTTGACATCTAACGAATCTTGTAAATGTTCCAAAATTCCTAGTAGTTTTAATGCAAAACTTGACTTCATTTTTTTAGTAAAAATTATTATTAAATAAAATTCCAAAAGAGATTTTAAAGCTATGAATCATTGAAAATCAGAAATCTTTATGGATAGCCCACATTCGAATGGGTCCGCATGAATGTTTATTGTTAATAACGAAGTTAAGATAGGAAAGCCGTTGTACAGTGAAGATTCAATAAAAGCAATTAATAAAATAAATTGATAAAATATAAATGAATCTTAGGCTTTTGTGATAGAAGTTTCAGCAAATACGAAGTGCACACAAACTGATTTAAGGCTGAGAATTCGGTAGTGGAACTTCCATGATACCCTTCATCAGTATACCCAAGGAAGTTTCGAAAACTGTGAAGCTGAGAAGTAAAATAAAGTGCTAAGCATCCCTTTTTTACTATTCCATGAGCATGACGTCAAGGAATGCCGCTTATAGCATGGAACAAAAAAGATATCTCACTACCTTATCTGAACAGCTCTGAAGCATGAAAAATGCGCGTATATGACTCTCTCGAGCATGCTTTTCGTATCCCTTGAGGTTGCAATTCGATGCACGTCTGGACGATGCAATAACGATGGAATTCTGCGTATTCTATCGACTCGGTGAATTGAAAGGCTCGAAGGCAGTCCAACGTCATTGCAATCGGGGTGCGAAGTAATCAAATTATTTTGAACTTCGTTGCAAGTGCCACGCTTTGTTACGAATGCATTCATCTTAATTTTTCTTTCTTGAACGTGGTTTTCTGCAAACTAAAGAAGGGTGGTTCTGAAGAGACGGCTTTTCTCAAAGAAAAACAAAGGTCATTAAGTAATATTAGGTTGGTCCGAAAGTCTTATCGTTTGATTTTCAAGAATTAAGACCATATAAACTTTGATCACTTTGAGTTAGGCCAAAAATCTGGGACGCTGCGGAAAGTCTGAATTCGCCATTACATGAGTTTTTTGACCTACTATTTGAAACCGAGAAGAATTTGTGGTGTTTTGACTTTTTGTGAAAAGCTATAATTTTCGAGAGCGACGAATTGGTTAATTTTGTCTTTTTCTGTAGTAAACATGAAATTCACTTTTCATAAAGGCGTCTAAACAACACAAACTTCTCACACTTGCAAAGAATAGTAATAAAACTTATGTACAGACGATTTGGTAATTTTCTGCAACATATCAGATTTTTGGCACCTGATTTAGAATGATCCAAGCTTGAATAACCTCCTTCATCCAATTTTATCTCTGCAACCAGTGCTGAAAAAAACAGAAGGTTTCTTCTTTCCAATGAATTGCTGAAAAGGTTTGTCCAAATCGCGAAAAGTTATAATTTTTCAAAAATGAAACGACAGAACCGATCTAATACGTAAATTATAAGTTGATTATATAGTCATAAAGACCAATATGCGCAATTATGCTCAGTTTCAAAACCATATCTTACGCGAAGCATTTAGCTCTACGATGTTTTTGTCTTCCAACCACAATTCTCCTCAAATGCGATGCAATGATTTCATTAAATAAATGCATTTATTCCTGTTAGCCTGAGTAAAAAACACAGTCTCGCCAGGCTATTTACACCTTCTCAATGAACCTCAACGAAACAAAAATCAGCAATAGCTGTTGCAGACATTTGATACGTTTGGCACGATCGAAGCTCAAGAGATGAAATTGAGAAATAGTGCTGCTCTAGCAACAAGATAGCATATAAGTGAAAACGAATCTATCGTCTGCTCTTAAGTAGGAGCAACTAAATATTTTTCGATTTACCCGATCAAGGAGGTTGCACTACGTTAAGCTCAGATTATGGGAGATTTTAGCAAGTTTCACATTGCGAACCATGTTTAGTCGAATTGGCCTATTCATATGGGATTATCATACAGAATAGCATAAAATGCTGATTCCAAATCTGTCTTCCCTATCTGCGGGATGATTGTGGATGAGGAGTTATGGACGTGGAAGCAAAAAAGAAAATTGCATCTAATAATAAGATAAAATGACCAAAATCTCCCTAACCCTCAAATAAAGCAACCAATTGTGATATATTGTCAGCTGAGAGTGCTATCAAATAAAGTGCTCTCATGATAGTCGTTGCTAAATTAAAGCGATAGAAAAGATAATCGGCCATTCATCTTATTAGCACTTGTTTTTGCTGTAATAAAGGCTCATGCCTTCTCGTCCATGAACGTTCCGCAGATAAGGAAGAGATTTGGAATCAGTGTTTTATACTCTCCAATACAGTATATACATTTATCTAAAAAGGCCACTTCAACAAAGCGTAGTTTTCTGTTAGTTGGTAACATGAAAGGGTTACTTTGTTTTGTTATTTAGAAACATGGAATCCATCTCGAGTGGTAACTAATTAAGTTCACCCCCTATTTCGCTCGGTGCACATCGTTACGAAACAATAACTTCCACTTAGAAAATAAAGCAGGCGAAACTTGCAACTGCTGTTCAGTTTGCCATGGTATCAAAGTCCGCTGGCACAGTTTGAGAGAGTTATCCCAAAAATGCAAACCGACCTTCAATATAGATATTAGGTCGTCCCTAAAGTATTTTCCACTTTTTTAAACGGTTCCCACAACCCTCAGAATAAGCATTTATGGATGGCCTTGTTATGAATTGTGCGCCTTTTCATTCTCTGTCATATGGTTACGCTCTTATTGTAGTGCAATAAACTCCTAGAAAATCGCCAAAATTTGAAATCCAGGCTTTATGCCAAGATTAGCTTCGCTAAATTTCTAAATTTTTTTCATGGCAATACTCCGACGGCGACCAGGTTAGAAGTCTGAGACTTTCAAAAGTGAATCATACAAACACTGATTTTGCAATGCGGAGAAGCGTTCACGGCTTTGAAGCATCAAATCTCGAATTCTCCGGGTACAGACTGGAAAAGTTTAAAAACAAGATGTTGATTTCACCAAAGACTTTGCGAATCAGGAACAAAAAGCAAGAGAGACGGGAAAAAGCTGAATGATACCGGAGTTGCTCGCCGGTCGATGTTCTGTAAATTTTGAGATGGCTAATTAGTGACCAATTTGATAGGTTCAAAGAAATTTTGAAAATGTTCAAAAGCAAGCTTTAGAAGAGAAAAAAATTGTTATCCTGTAAAGTTCACTCTATCCAATTTTACTTGGGCTTCTTCTGAAAATCTGCGCTAAAAATAAAGAAATAGCGAAACTCAACCATGATCAAGAGCATGGATCCAGATTTGGTGATTTGGAGCTCGTTCGCTGCACCGCAACATAAACATAAACATTAAAAATGGAAATAAAAAAGATGCATCGAATGCTACCAAGACCTTCTACAAATCTTTGTTTGCGAATGGTGGTTGCCGTTCAAAAATCGAAAACACTTTCAGGACGACCTAATATACAGAACTCGATGTGAATTTGATTGTATATGTTCTGATCACAAATTTTTTCTGTGTGGACACATTAGGCTGAAAATTTACACACATATTTTCCAAACCGGAGAGGAACATAGGTTCTGAAGCGATTCCCTGGCGATTCTATTGATTTATTGATCTGGTCACTTTTAGCCAGAGAAGACGAAAGCTTATCGCGTTTTAACCAAGCATTGTCCCGTGATCATGTCAGGGACGATGAACCTCATTTTCATTTGCCGGTCAGCAGAATGCTGCAAGGGGGTAGAAAGAGTCCATTACTGCAGGAAGTACTGTACTTGCTGTACGCTATGCAGGAAGGAAACTCTGGGAAAGTGGTGAAGCCCGAAGGTCAGAGAGATGGTAGCCCCAGTGGCTAAGTGTAGCTCCATAGACGTTTCGTGTCCGAGTCCCAAGCTAAGGTGGAACCCGGTATGCCAGCTAATTCTATATACAGGCGGCACAGAATATGCTTCAAAGTTCGTTGTTTTGGAAATAGTAGCTTTCCCAAGAATTCTGCAAATTCAGGGGGTTTTCGTGGTCTTCCAGTCTTGGCGCATTTGCTTTACTTCATATTAGGTTGTCCAGAAATTAATGCAGATTTCTTAATCAGCAGTGCAAATCTAAAAATGTGGGAGACGTATCATTCGATGGAGCGAGCAATCTCTACAAGAGTACATTAGAAAGATCGCAAAAAGTTTGACGCATGTGAAGTTTGAAAGCAAAATCTAAAATAATTCAAGCACCCAAAGGTCAGATTTCCGTCCAAAAATATACTGTGGACTTCCACCTTGTTAGGCATATACTGTCCACATCAAACATTCATAAGTACAGTTGCAATATTTTTTCCACTGTTAGAAAATGGGAAAATGAAAGTTGGCATGCCCTAGCAAATGCAATTCTGAGCCATTCTGACATAAGTTGTTCTGTGCTA